AGTAACACACACACACAGTAACACACACACAGTAACACACACAGTAACACACAGTAACACACAGTAACACACACAGTAACACACACAGTAACACACAGTAACACACACACAGTAACACACACACACAGTAACACACACACAGTAACACACACAGTAACACACAGTAACACACAGTAACACACACACAGTAACACACAGTTTGGGCCTTTTTTTGACCATCAACATGTGACTGAATGACTTTAATCTTTACATTGAGACGTCTCCAGGACGACGGTGAACTGATCGTGACCTCCGCCGTCCTGAAACGCCGCCTGGGTGAGAACACGAACCCTCTGATGCATTTTAAACGTTTGCAGACTCTCATCGCCACCAAGAGAAAGCTTCCATCGACACAGACGTGATGAGAAAAGAGGTTTATTGATGGTGAAGCCACTCGTGTGGCATCTGAGGATGTTGAAAGACTCGTTTTCCATCAACGCGTCTGCAGCTCGGAGTCCGTTCGGTGTCTTTGGTGCATAACTTCTGTGCGTACTTGTGCAAAAGTCTTTGTGCATATGAGTGTTCTTGTGCTTATTTTTAAGGTAAAGCTACAGGGTTTTGTTCAAACTTAAGGTGAAGCTAAAGGGTTTTCTATCACTTCAGTACCAGAACTATGGCTTCTTGGGCAGAACAAGGATTTTCTTCTACTTGTTGGCTGCTCTTGTGGCAGGAAGGTGAAAGTAAAGCTGTGGACAAGGGTTTGTTAGAGGAGATCTGGGCTTGTTAGGGTTCAGGTTCTTGCAAAAATAGATTAAGAGCAGAAGGGATTTACGATTTGGGAGGGGAAAGGATTTTGTTCCGACAGCACTAGAAAGACTAAAGTAGAAAAAGGGATTGTGCATAAGAGGTAAAGGACGAGTTCAAAAATGAAGATTTTAGTCGGAGGACCATCAGTCAGCTCTGACGGCTTCGTGTTGAGGTCAGAAGAATCCTTCAGCTTTGACCTGCAGGACGTCGCTCAGCCCAGGACGCTTCTGGAGAACCTGAAGACACCAAACACAGCAGACAACACAATGAGAACCAACACCTGAAGGCACCCCGCGGGCTTTAGGGCGTCTATAAAAGGTATTCACCCTCTTAGAAGTTTCCCCCTTTGGACACAAAGAAAAAATCTAAATTACTACATATCAGAATCGTTTCACTGTCATTGTTCAAGAAAGCACAACGAAGTTTGAGTCAGCAGCTCTCGTAGGCAGCGTAAAGCCTCAGGACGAACGGGAGGGAGGCCACCAAGACACCTGTGACTCCTCTGAAGCAGCATCATGACGTGAAGCTTCTCATTCATTTACAGTACAGCTGTGCACCTGACAGCCAATCAGAGAGCAGTGTTTAGCCTGAGCGTTTTGTTTTTACAGGTGAACTCACCTTCAGCGTGCTGAGAATCTCTCCAAACAAGTGCTGCGCTTCCTGAGTGTCGGGCTCTTCAAAGTAATCTGCCGCTGACACCTCCACTTCGATGGACCTGATGTTGTCGCACACACCTGCACAGGTACACAAAGGGGGCTTTGTCAGTGACTCACAAGTCACATGATCAATGACGTGTTTCATCTCGTTCAGACTCACTGTGGAAGTGCAGGATGGCCTGACCGCTGACCGGCGTGTGCGTCAGGACCAGCGTCTGCAGGCTCTTCAGCCCAGCTTTGCACAGCTCTGTCGCCGCCTGCAGGCCGAGGTCGGTAATACGCTCCAACTCCAGCACCTGCAGGTGAGCGCAGTTACGCACTGCACACCAAACACACACCAAACACACACAGGCGTCACTTCTACCTCCAGAACTGTACAAAACACATGAAGACAAATTTGAAGGAAGTTCTTTGTCATCATCGCTCATCCTTATTTTTTATCACACATATTATCCCAACATAAATTTTTATCATGCTAGTTTTTTATTATTAACTTTCATCAGTATTTATTTTATATTTTTGTGTATATGATTATATCCCTTTTTGAAAGAAGTTTCATATTTTATAAATTAGCTGCATTGCTAGTATTTTATGCTAACGCTAGTTTTTTTATGCTCACATTATGTCACCGTTAGTTATCAGCAATGCCAACATGCTAATGTATGTTTTTAATGCTAATGCTAGTATTTTACGCTAATGTTAGTTTTTACGCGTTTTAGTTTTATGCCATGTAAACATTCTAGTATGTGTGTTTTTGATGCCAACACTAGTGTGGTCATGCTTAGATTGTACGCTAATATTAGTGCTAATGCTATTTCATTTTTCATTTGCAGTAAAACAAAAAAATTAAAAAATATTAAACTATAAGATACTTGCAGTGAAGTAATAACAACTTCTATTAACAAAAGTCACCAAAAATGCTGTCTTCACTCACCAACAGTAACCAATCCCTGAGTCCCACAACCGGCCCCGCCCACACTGAGTGAGCGGAGGTGTGGCCAACATCGACCAATCGTCTGCAAGCAGCGGTTACCAAAACGAGTTGGCTGTTGGCTGAAACGAAGTCAGAGACGGATGAAAGGTAACGTTTAGGGTAGGAATTTAAAACTTGGTGATAAAGGGTTCGATGTGAATTAAATCATTAAGTTAAAACCAAAAAGCACTGAAGTGTCCTACGGAGACTAAACTAGCTCCTCTGTTGTAAACACGGTTGGTTCCTGAGTCCCTGAAAGGCGTTTGTTCTGTGTAGAAGCTTCTGTGGTGGAAACAAGCTGCAGCGAGTTCAAACTGACCAGGGGTGAGCCGGCGCCACCTGCAGGCTGCTGATGCTCCTGCAGCCTGCACCCAGGGCCCAGAGAACCTCCTGGCCGAGAGGGTCTGAAGAACTCCTGCAGGTAAACAATCACACAGGTAACATACGGGCAGGCAGACAGTCAGACAGGTAGACAGGTGATCAGACAGGTACGCAGTCTCACCTGTATGTGAGCGTGTGCAGGTTCCTGCAGTAGCAGCTGGCCAACCACAGCGTCCTGTCAGTCAGGATGTGTGGACACTGAGAGATGGACAGGTGGAGAAGACTGCCCCCTGCTGACCTGAGCAGAGCCTCCACCCCCGGCTCCACGCTGCCCCTGAAACACACAGAGACTACGGTACCCATGATGCCCCAGGCTGCCCCTGAAACACACAGAGACTACAGTACCCATGATGCTCGACTGGGGACGGCTCTCAATGACCTGTCAAGTCAGTAATCTGACCAATCAGACGACAGTTAGAGTCCTACTGAAATTAGATGGCGTTGCCACGGCAACATGCACATTTTTTTCATTTTAAAGAGCTAAGAAAAGCTTCTACCTTTTTCTCAGTGTGACGCACCGACGCTAATCCCTGAGAGCTGTGCTGCTTTGTGTTGCTGTGTTTGCGTGTACAGACAGAAAGTCATCACCCTTCTCGAAATATTTCCACTTTTACTGCTTTTCAACTGTGTTTCTGACTGGAGTCCAGTTAATCCATCAATAAGGAATATGGAACATGAGTAGATCTGACTAGAGCAGGACGTCCTCAGAGACTGAGTGACCGAGCAAGAAGGAGACTCGTGAGGGAGGCCACCAGGACTCCTGTGACTCCTCCACACGGTGGTGGCAGCATCATGATGAAGCACGGCGGTGGCAGCGTCATGATGAAGCACGG